TGCCGCTGCCGAATGCAACTAAGGGCTCATTCACACGTGCAATGTGTTTGTGAATGAGAATGTGTTGCCTCCCCACCACCTGATTTAAAGCCATGATTGCTGTGCAATGCAGGCGATTGCGAAGCAGTAGTAAGGCAATTAGAGGTCAGTAATGTGGAGGCGACACTGTGCACAGTGATATTTGACTTCTCCTATGTTGTTCAGGTAGATCTCTACCTCTTTAAGGTTGCCTAGCTCTGCTTTACTGCATATGCAGATTGCTTTTACTGTTGTGGGTTTTTTAGTAGCATTTTAAAACAGTAAGGAATGTTATTAGCCAATTATCTCCTAAAAGCCCCCACAAAGGTAAAACATATGAAAACATTTCAAATAAATAAACAAAGAATAATACTGACCATATATGATCACTAAACAGCAAAGAGAATGAATAAAGAATTGCCACTGAATTGTGAATTGTTCGTACCAAGTATGGACCAATGTGTTAAATTATACCATCAAACACCACACAGAACACTAGAGCAAGTTAAAAGAAAAATCTGAAAAGCATAATCCATGTATTCCTTAATGGTGAGTGTGACACAAAGAATAAATGAAAAGCGCACACTGATTTGATGAGGTGGAAAAGCAGGGTGGTGATGTCATGCTAACACAGTTTCTGCCTTTCACCACTAACTAATGGATGTGCAAATAGGGGTTGATTTACTTGAAGAAAAGTGAAGATTGCAAAAATTTGCTGCAGCTCTGCATAGAAACCATCAGCTTCCAGTTTTTTTTAAATCAATGCTTGAACAAACTGAAGTTAGAAGCTTGTTGGCTACCATGTCCACCTGCACTGAGAAGAAAACTATCCCCTTAATTTCATGTAGCACCCCTTACCTAACCTTTAGTAAGGGCTATTACTGCAGCTCACTATCAAGTAAAGATATTTCAAGTGTACATATCTTGACCTTATGTGAGTTTATTGGAAAGTTTTATCCTGACTGGAATTCTAAGGGAAAATTTGAAAATATGTGTGCTTTAGAAGAGGAATAACTGATGGTTTACCTGTTTGTTTTCAATCTTAGTTACTTAGTACACCTAGAGGAAAACATCACTTCAGTCTATTCTATTGTTTTAGTTCTAGGCTAAGTACTGTTTTGAAAACTTCTGTTTGTTCATGTATTTTTTGGTTTTTCAAAAATTTTCAGACCCTATTTTCAAAGCTAAGCTGTAGAGATAAATGTCATATCTCTTAACACCTCTATTAAATTTTTAAATTTTGGTTTCCCCCTACAACGCTGTATTTCCCAGACTGCAAGCTCATCTCGGTGACAGTCCTCCACAGCTCTTCAATATTTCATGTTTTGGTATTAACTTGAAGCTACTCTCAGCATAACAACAATAGACTGAGAGAAAGTTCAGATCTCAACAGACTCTCTGCAAAAAAACTACCTGACCTGCTTATTTCCTATATTTCAGAGCTTGTGTTACTGTATATAACATTTAACATGCTCATATTCATTACTAATGATACATATACACCACATTACTATAAAATAATTGGATTTTATAAAGCACATGCACTTTAATAATATCTAAAAATGTTTTTAATTGTATAACAGTCATACATTATTCTATACATGAATCTATTTAACATTTGTGCTAATTCACTAACAAACTTGAAACTAAAAACACAATATACATTACATTGTTCAAAGGAATCTTGTACTGGGAGAGTACTGGGAGAGTATGAAAGCTGCTATTTGCTGACCTCCCTTGGCTTTCTAATCTGCATGCTTGTTCCAGCTCAGTAGCTTAAAGTATATGCGTAGGCAAATCTTTTTTGTTAGTTTTGGATAGAGAAAAGAGGAGTTAATAACACCATCTACTAAGTGAGGGGAACTCCCTTCTTAGGTGGTTAGTGGAACATGTGTCTTCTATGGAGGATTTTCCCCAGCTCTTTATCTGAAATTTTGAATTTCCTATCAATTTATATCTCAGTGACAATGGTCAAAAGGACAAATGGAGGGAGTGACAATTATTATTATTATTATTATACAGTACTTATAAAGCGCCAACAGTTCGTTCAGCGCTGTATATTACAATGGGAGACAGACTGTACGATAACAATACAATGTGATGCACGAGGGGTTCGAGGGTCCTGCTCTTTCGAGCTTACAATCTAGGAGGGAGGGGATAGTGGTACAGGAGGAAATGGCTGTGATGGAGTGGTAGGAAGAGTGGAGGAGGTCGGCAATTAGCAGGGGGTGGGGTAGGCTTCCCTGAAGAGGTGGGTTTTTCAGGGTGCGTCTAAAGGAGAGGAGAGTAGGTGATAGTCTGATGGATTGGGGTAGGGAATTCCAGAGGATGAGTGATGTCCTGGAGAAGTCCTGGAGGAGGGCATGGGAGGAGGAGACTATGGAACTAGAGAGAAGGGGTCTTGTGAGGAGCGGAGAGTGCGTGTTGGGTGGTATTTAGATATTAGGTCGGTGATGTAGTTTGGGGCAGTATGATGGACAGCTTTGTATGTCAGTGTTAGGATTTTAAATTTGATACGTTGGGCAATCGGAAGCCAGTGGAGGGCTTGGCAGAGGGGGGTGGCAGAAACGGTAAGGTGGATGAATCTGGCTGACGTATTTAGGATCGAATGAAGCGGGGATAGCCTGTGGTGAGGCAGGCCAGTGAGGAGGGAGCTGCAGTAATCGAGTCATGATAGGATGAGGGGGTGGATGAGCTGCTTAGTGGTTTCCGGGGTTAGAAACGTGTGGATTTTGGCGATGTTGCGGAGGCGGAGTCTGCATAAGTTTGTTAGTGATTGGACTTGGGGCTGGAAGGATAGATTGGAGTCAAGTATGACACCAAGTACTCTGGCTTGTGGGGCGGGCCTGATGGTGGCATTGTTGGACGTGATGGAGAAGTCAGTGGGGGTAGGTGTGTAGGTAGGGGGAAGACAAGGAGCTCGGTTTTGGAGAGGTTCTATTTAAGGAAGTGGAGCGACATCCAGTCTGATATGTCGCTCAGTAGGCTTGTGATTCGGGCGGAGACTGAGGGGGTGAGGTGAGGGGTGGAGAGATAGATTTGCGTGTCGTCGGCATAGAGGTGATAGTTGAAGCTGAGAAACTGTGAGTCAGTTGGCCAAGGGATGAGGCGTAGATGGAGAAGAGAAGGGGCCCCGAGGACAGAGCCTTGAGGGACCCCAACAGAAAGGGGGAGTGAAGGGGATGTGGTAGCATTGTAGGTAACGCTGAAGGAGCGTTGTGATAGGTAGGACGGGAGCCAGGAGAGAGCGGAGTCTCTGAGGCCAAGGGAGTGTAGCTTTTTGAGGAGGAGGGGGTGGTCGACTGTGTCGAAGGCCGCGGAGAGGTCGAGGAGTATGAGCACTGAGTAGTGGCTGTTAGCTTTGGCGGTTAGCAGGTCGTTGGATAGTTTTAGTAAGGCAGTTTCGGTGGAGTGTAGGGGACGGAAGCTGGACTGTAGGGGATCAGGGAGGTTGTTGTCATTGAGGTGGGAGCTTAGGCGATTGTAGACTAAGCGCTCGAGGAGTTTGGATGTAAATGGCAGCAGGGAGATGGGTCTAAGGTTGTTCGGGTCATTGGGGGGAGGGCTTTTAAGTATAGGGGTGATGTGCGCGTGCTTCAAAGGGGAGGGGAATGCGCCGGAAGAGTGGGAGAGATTAAAGATGTGGGTGAGGGAGTATAGGATGGAGGAGGAGGGAGGTCGTAGGAGTTGTGAGGGGATAGGGTAGAGGGGGCAGGTGGTGAGGCGGGCATTAGAGAAGACCTTGGTGACTTCCTCGATGATAGTAAGGTCGAAGGAGTATAGTGTGGAGGGGGCTTCAGTGTGAGGAATGTTAGGTGGGGTGGAGGTCAGAACAGTGGTGAGGCCGAGGGAGAGGGGTGATGAGGGGGTTGCTGTGTGAGAGGGGACGGGTGGGGAGGAAGTTTGAGCAGCGGCGATGTCCCCTGCGAATAGTGTCAATCTTGTTTTTGAAATGATTGGCAATCTCAAGGGCGGTGAGTGAGGTGCTGGGTGGAGGTGGGGGCAGAGACAGTAGGAAGTTAAAGGTGGAGAAGAGCTGGCAAGGATTGGAGGAGAGGGTCTTGATGAGGGTCAGGAAGTAGGCTTGTTTGGCAGCATGGAGGGAGGAGGTGTAGGTGTGGAAGGCAGATTTATAGTGGGTGAAGGCTAGTTGGGATCTGGTTTTGTGCCATAGTTGCTCCAGCGCACGACTGCGTCATTTGAGAGCTTTGGTTTGTTCAGTCTGCCAGGGCTGGAGCAGTCGGGGTCTGATGTTACATGTGCTTAAAGGCACTAGTGAGTCAAGGGCGACTGACAGCAAGTTGTTGTAGGCAGTCATGGCCAGGTCGGGGCAGGACAGGGGGAGGAGGATACTGTCATGGAGTTGATCAGCTGCGGAGTGGAGAGGGGCAGGGTTCAGGTTGCGGAGGTTACGGCTGATAGTAGTGTGACACTTGGAGGGGTAGACATTAGAGGACGAGGAGACAGAGAAGGTAATAAGGTGGTAGTCAGAGAGAGGGAAGGAGGTGTTAGTGAGGTTGTGGGGAGCGCAGAGATGGGATAAGACAAGGTCCAGGATGTTCCCGTCGGAGTGGGTGGTGGATTGTATGCACTGTGCGAGTGCAAAGGAGGAGGTTAAGTGGAGGAATTGTGATGTGGCCGGGTTGTCGGTGTTGACAGGGATGTGAAATCCCCAAGGATGATGGTGGGTAGCTCGGAGGAGAGAAAGAAGGGTAGCCAGGCGGAAAAGTCATCAAGGAAGCGGATACGGGTCCAGGAGGCCGGTAGATTACAGCAATCCTCAGGGGGGTTGGGGAGAAAAGTCGGATGCAGTGGGCTTCAAAGGAAGAGAAGGATAAAGAGGGGGGGTTTGGGAGGATTCGGAAGTGCTCTGCGGTGACAGGAGCAGACCAACCCCACCACCTGTAAGGGACCACCCGACGGTACCACTAGCACTCCACTGAATAGGCGTCCCCAGAGCACGGAATCTAAGTTCCAAGGTGCTTGTTCACCAGGGCCCCTGATGGTGGGGATGGACTTGGAGCACCCCGAGACCAGGTCGTGACTACTGGGTATACCAGTCAGTGGTAGTGGTATACACCGAGGGCTCCCACGGGGGAGAGCCTGATATGACGAGGTCTGAAGACCTCACTGGGAGGGATGGATGGATGGCTGAGCAGGTGCAAAGTCAGACAGACCAGGTCGGTTACAGAGAGGACGGTACAGTACAAGGCAGCGGGCAGAGAATAGTCGGGTCACACGCCAGGTCAGCAACAGCAGGTCAGATCCAATAGGGCGCATCCAAGAGAGAGGTCAGGCAAAGCAAGGGTCTGGGCAGGAGAATATAGCAAGGTCAGAGCACAATCCGAGTCAGCAACTTACAATACACAGGTTCGCAGATACAGGATACAGGGAAGACCAAAAAGCACTGAATGACAGCTCAGGGCCATTTAAATATCCTGCCCTGCGCTGTCATTGGTGCCACGCGTGCGCCCGCGGTCCCTACTGCGCATGCGCGAACTCGCTCGTTGCGGTCGGCCAGGTCTCAGTGCCCGTGTTCCTGCACAGGGCGGTGCACTGCGCCTGCGCCGAGCCCATCGCGGCGGTGATCTCTGACACCACCTTTACGACCATTGGGTCTGGGTGAGTGGGTCCAGATGAGACCTCCATAGGAGAGTGCAGCAGGGGAGGTAGAGTCAGTGGCCTGGATCCAGGTTTCCGTGATCGCTAGGAGGTTGAGGGAGCGGGAAACAAAGAGGTCGTGGATGGCAGTAAGCTTGTTGCACACTGATCGGGCATTCAGGAGTGCACACAGAAATGGATGGGTGGTTTTAGGGAGCAGGGGGACAGATATTAGGTTGAGGGGGTTTGTGGTAGGACGTGGAAGCGGGAGGGGAGTGCCGTGTGGTTGAGCGAGGTGGTGGAGGGCCAGGGTTCGGGGAAATGTCCCCAGCTGTTAGGAGGAGAAGAAGGGTGAGAAAGGTGGCATGGGAGCGGGATGTGCAGGAGTTTGAAAGTCTACCAGTGGGGGTGTTCGGGTCAGTTGGAGGGTGGAATATTAGGAGGAGGTGGTGGGTGCCATAGAGGGGCGAAGGAAGCAGTGAGGACACAATATGCAGTTGTTTGGGAGGAGCAGAGGGATATAGAGAAGGGATTTTGGGGATGGAGGAGAGGAATATGAGGAGGAGTGGAAGAGGCATTTAGGGTGGCGGATAGGTGTGGATGGAGGCTTGGCTGCGGATAGTCCAGCGTGCGGTGGCGTATCTCATCGCTGTGTCTTCCGGTAGCTGGAGTTTAAGGGAGTAGGGAGTGGGGATTGGGTGTGGAGGGATGGTGTCCAGGGGAGCTTGATTGGAGATTGTCTAGCGTGCAGTGGGGTTTATCGTTGTAATGTCTTTCAGCTAGTGTTCTAGTTCTTAGCTCAAGCTGGGCTGGGGTCAGCGTGAGTAGTCTCTGGGTGGTTGAATCAGGAACAATGTGCGGCTGTTTCTTGTCCTTTGGGTCAAGCTGGGTTGGGGTCGGCATGAGTGGTGTCTGGGTGGTCGGATCAGGAGTGCTGTGTGGCTGTTTCTTACGGGAGGATGCACGTGATCTTGCGGAGACTTGCTTGGCAGTATTCAGGGTCCAGGTGGAGGTCCCAGGTAGAAGGATGAGGGTTGGCTTGAGGAGGAAAGGGATGGGTGGGAGTTGCGGGGTTGATGTCCCTTGGAGCCGGTGGGGAGAGATGAGGATGGATGGAGATGGGGAAGTCTTGTCAGGATGCAGGGGTGGGGATGGAGGTGGATGGAGATGGAGGTGGCTTACCGGACGCAGGGGATGCTGTAGGGAGCCTCGGGGGTTCACTGCTGACCAGGTGGAGACCTGGGCGCCTGAGTCTCGGGCTGAGTGGCTGCGCCAGGCTGCAGGGTAGTGTCCACGGGTGGTGTGGGGGTCGGGTGGTGGTGGTGATGCCGTGCTGGGCCCTGTGGGGCCACAGCAGCCTGGTCCTGCAGGGGTGGTTCTTGATGCGGAGAGGGCCAGGGAGCCTGTTGGGGTGTTCGTGAGGTGGGAGACTGCGGGTGTGCGGCCGCGCCAGGCCACGGAGTTGTGTCCCCGGGTGATGTGGTCGTACCAGGCCGGGAGGTTGGATGAGTAGTAGTGATGACATGTGGGGCCCTGCTGGGGGCCACAGCTGCCTGAGTGGTGGTGCTGCCTGAGTGGTGGTGTTGCCGTGTGGGCACAGCTGCTTGGGTGGTGGTGCTGATGTGTGGGTGCCTGAGGTGGTCCTAGGAGCCTTCTGCGTTGCTGTGGTCCCCTCTTGGTGCTGGGCTTCCCCTCACAGTGCAGGCAGGACAGGAGGGAGCAGGAACAGGAGGCAGGGGCTCTCCTTACCTGTGCCAGTGGCTTCCCTTCCCTCTGGGTACCAGTGGGGGTGGTGGCTGCCTCGGTGGGAGTGGCGGTCGTCCACTGGAGCGGAGCGGTGCGGCAGCGTTCCCGGTTAGTCGCGGCAGCCGGTAGGAAAGACCGCGGCTTCGTAGGCCGCGGTGGGCCGCAGGTCATCGATGCTCCGCCGGAGGGGCTAGGCTCTCAGCACCCCTCCTGGGTGTCGGCAGGACCTCCAGTGGCGCTCCGGAGCCCGCTACCGCCCGGATGGCGGCGGATTCAGCAATACCTAATAATAAGCTGACAGGGGTTCAAATTCCTCACTATTGTATCCAAACTATAGGTTTTGGCTTTACAATCATGGTCAGCCAGGGGACAAGTGTAGTATATTGTATTTAGATGGCGGTCAGGAAAGCCAGCCCAAATATTTCTCTTAGTATAGGTTTTCTTTGTTAGTTTTGTGTTAAGTGCACATTGAAGGCCAAGATCATCCAGATGTTATTTTTCATATGATAAAACTTATGCTTGGAGTATATGGCTCCTATCCAACTCCCTAGTTTCAATATATCTTCATTTTTTTGTATCATGCAACCACTATGTTAAAGCAACACTATTGGCAAAAAAAAAATGAAAATTTTAGGAAAAGACAATTTACACTTACCTGTTCTAGAGCCCTTCTTAGAATCTTTGCTCCACTGCTATGCAAAGCTGCTCAAATGTTTTTCACATCTGGCACACTTGTGGGTAGGTTGGGTGCCTGTGTCCCCCATTGCATTCTTTTGTTACTCCCACTGGCTCCTACATAACCACTGTAGACAAAATACCATCTCTCTACAAGGGAAGAGATAGTATCCTTTGTCTCTTACTTCTCCTCCATTCCAACTCTATCAGTGTCCTTGATGTCCTATACTTTTGGGAGTATGGGATGACTGTATGCCTTGCTGAAAATGATAGTTACATCATCTGACCCCTATATCACTGCTGAGTACTATAGGTAGGTATGGGTCTCCTCGTCACAACCCTGACCTAGTGGTTTTTGGGGTCTGTGGGCAGGAGCTTCTGAAATGTGGAAGCCCCCTTTAATATTAGGGAGAAACCAAGATACCACTCCCCTCATATGAATTAGTACAAAAAATGTAAATTGTAAATAACCACATGTACACAATTTTTGACCACTCCTATAATTTAAAAAGTCACATAATTTACATCCTTTGTCAATCACATCATCCAGTGATGCAGATCTACATCAATTATGATGCCTGACCCGTCAAAGAAGAAAAAGCCACTGACATACGTCTGCTTCTGTCACTTCCCTTGGCTGAATTACACCTCCTGTTCCTGCTGGTAAAATTTAAACTAAGGGGTGGGTCTTCTGGGTGACATCATTGGCCAACTATGGATATGACACGGCTCATAGAGGGAACAAGAACCTGAGCTCAGTGACCATGAGGCTGTGTGGTATCATCAAGGTCAGTAACTTCTCCTGAGGGTCTTGGAGTTACTGGAAAAGCAGGGGTTAACCACCATTGATCTTCAGACGGATGAGACACCTGTGGCTCACAAATATGGATAGCTCCTCTATAACATCTCCCATCAGCCTCTCCATGAACATTAAGAGGGAACATAACTATTCATAATCCAGAATTACTGTTGGCTTTCACTGTATTGGCAGACTCAAGAGCAATACTGAATTTAGGGGAAATTAAATGAGTGTAGCAATATCAAGCAGCTTGGACTATTTACCACTTTGCAGAGCTAAATTTAGATTAGGGCATGGTGGCTACAGAGTTACTTGACTACCATGTACCATATTGTTATCTTCCACATAAAGTAAAATGCTTCTCATAGTTCTTCCATGTGTGTAAAGTACTAGAAGCAAAAAATATAATCATATTTTATTTATGTAAAGCATTTAATATAAAAATACAAATAAACAAATGTGGACAATACCTTACAACAGGGGTGGGCAACTGTGGCCACTGTGGCCCTCCAGCTGTTGGTGAACTACAAGTCCCATCATGCCTCTGCCTTTGGGAGTCATGCTTGTAACTGTCAGTTTTGCAATGCGTCATGGGACTTGTAGTTCTACAACAGCTGGAGGGCCACAGTTGCCCACCCCTGCCTTACAATATTACAATTTATCCAGGAGCTATTATTTAAAAGTAAAGCTTTTCTTTTAGATATGTGTTTAGTAATCTCCATTTCCCTTTCCTTTGCTCCTAAACACTATCTGATAGAAATATGCTACATGCTCTTCTGAACTACAAGATAAGGCTGTAGTAGAATGCTTTTGAAAGAAGCAATATTGATTTAAATGTTCCCTGGCACAGAAAAAGATCAGCAGTCTCCATCTGTCTCGTTTTAGTTAATGGAATCTGATACTGTTTTTCCATACATACATTTGATGTGCAGTCTACAGGTAAAATTACTATTTAGTTTTTAACAATGCATTTGACATTCATGTGCATTTAGTTGCAGTTACTGGAAAACATTAACAGCTGAAAGATACACAGCATGGCAGAAAGCAGTGTTTATGCAATAAAATATTAATCCAGACAAGCCACAGTCTCAAAACTGTAACTACTGTTTGCATTAACATTAATTGCTATTTTGTTTATAAATGTAACATGCCTAGAGTACAATGATCCTAATAACCAAAGACAGGAAACACCACTATTTGGAAAAACAACAATGAGCCTGCATAATTAGACAAGACCTAGCAAAAATGTAATGCTCCCTGATACAAAACAAAAATGTATAAAGAACAGGATGAATTCATATTGAAATAAAATTACTGGTAACACATGGCAGAGGAAAAAAATGGGGTTATGATGATGGTGCAATATAAACTGCCAGCAGAAAAAGCTAGATTACAATTTAAGTTAGTAAGGTTAAAAGCAACAATGATCATATTGATACCCTACACCTATCCAACCTCAATGGTATCCACTACTGATCCTGCTTTGCTTATAATCCCTTACAGCTACTGTATCTCCTAAGGTCAAAAGCCAGGGAACCTTTTGAGACACAATCCGTACACACTCACTAATG